ATGGGCAGCTGAACCCCAAGTGGACCAAGTGGCTGCAGAAGCTGTGCTGCCCGTGCTGCTTTGGGAGAGACTGCCTGGTCCTGAACCAGGGCTACCTGTCGGAGGCGGGTGCCAGCCTGGTAGACCAAAAACTGGAACTCAACATTGTTCCCCGCACAAAGGTGAGAGGAAAGCTGCTGGGATCTTTTTCTGGGAAGGCTTTTGTGTGCTTCCACACAGCTCTGCTTGTGTCTTGTCTTGTGGCACTGCTGACCTTGTAGATTGAGAGCTCTAGACCAGGACTGTTCCTGCTCTAGCTGCGGGGATGCTTGTGCTGGGCAGAGCTGTGAGAAATGCTGTGTCTTGGTTTTATCAGGCAGTCCTGTGACTGCGCTCCTGTCCCCCCAGGTGGTGTATCTGGCCAGTGAGACCTTTAACTACAGTGCCATCGACAGGGTGAAGTCCCGAGGAAAGAGGCTGGCCCTGGAGAAGGTGCCGAAAGTCGGCCAGCGCTTCAACCGCATTGGTCTGCCACCCAAGGTAGGGCTGCCAGCCTGCACACCTGCCTGCCGGCACCTCCCTGCCCTCTGTGGCCTTCTGTGACACAGCCTCTCCTTGCCTCAGGTGGGCTCCTTCCAGCTCTTTGTGGAAGGCTACAAGGATGCAGACTACTGGCTGCGGCGGTTTGAGGCTGAGCCGCTCCCGGAGAACACCAACCGGCAGCTGCTGCTGCAGTTTGAGCGGCTGGTGGTGCTGGACTACATCATCAGGAACACAGGTAGGGCCAGCTGCCTGGTGTGGGATGCTACCTGCTCCGTCATGTCCTGTCATGTTGGAGAAAGGGGAGGGAGATAGGGTCTTGGCTTTTCCCAGCACCTGAAATTCTCAATGCCACTCAGTTGCTGCCAGATGATATCTGCCTCTGGGCAGAGTGCAGCTGCTGCGGCCATCCAGCACTGGGGGCTCTGGCTGCTGGCCTGGGCTCTAGCAGATCTGGATCCACCACTGTGCTTGGCTGAAAGTTTCCCAGCTGTGAGGTTCCAGGGACATTCAGAGATCCGACACCTGGCTGTGCCTCTATATCGCATCTCACAGTGGGTTCCTGAGTTCCTGCCTGGCTGGAAGGGTCGGGGTTGCACTCTGGGGCTTGCAGGCTGACCTTTCTCTTGCAAGCTGGGAATACGTGGACCTCCAGGGCTAGCTTTGTGAGGGTTGATGTGACTTCCCAGGCCCACAGCAAATTTAAGGTCTCCGGGCCTAGAATGTCTCTGTCTCACTTCTGGGTCAGAGGAGGAATAGTCTTCTGCCCAGCACGGTGCAGGGAGGCCCTGGTGGTGATGCAGCTGGTTTTATCTCCCTGCAGATCGGGGCAATGACAACTGGCTCATCAAGTATGACTGTCCCCTGGACAGCGCAGGTGTGCGGGTGAGTGGCTCCTCCTGGGCAGGGGCAACATGAGGACTCCGCTTCTGGAAGCTGACTGCTTGTTAGGCCGGACAGGAATTTCCCATCTGGGTTCCAAGCGTGTGGACACCTGATCTTGTCTCCTGGGCCTTTTTTTACCCTTTGTGTTGGTGGTTTGTGGCCTAGTGGGACTTTGTGAGAATGCTCTGTGGGGGAAACTGGTGTTGCTGGACCTGTGAATCCTCGGAGTGAGGCCTTGCGGGGGAAGCAGCTTTGTTCCCCTCCCACCTGAAACAGATAATGTTTCCCTGTGGGCAAGGGGCTATGCTACAAGGCAAGAGGCTGCTGTGCCTCTGTGGTAGCCAGGGCAAAGATCCTGGCAGTGGGGCTGGAGTGGGAGAGGGACTCTTCCTGCTGGGGGAGGGCCTCCTTATGACATGCTTTGCTTCCTTCCAGGACAGTGACTGGGTGGTGGTGAAGGAGCCCATCATCAAGCTGGCTGCTATAGACAACGGTTTGGCCTTTCCCTTGAAACACCCAGACTCCTGGAGAGCATGTGAGTCCGTTAGGCTGTGCCAGGACACTGTGGCAAGCCATACAACTCCATGCTTGGGCATCCTCCTTAAGGACTGTAGAGGAGAGGACTAGGGCTGTGCCTCTGCAAATCTCTGGGTTCATGGGAAGTTCATTCTCAGCAGAGACTGTACGAAGCTGATGCTGGACCTTGGGTCCCAGATGCAGGGGATCAAGGGGCATGTGGCACCGTGCTTTGCCTTCCCAAGTTTTCATGTCTCCTGCTTCCTCCCACAGACCCCTTCTACTGGGCGTGGCTTCCCCAGGCCAAAATCCCCTTTTCACAGGAGATCAAGGACCTGATTCTTCCCAAGATCTCAGACCCCAATTTTGTCAAGGACCTGGAGGAAGATCTGTATGAGCTCTTCAAGGTGTGTTGGGGAAGTGGGTGAAGATGATATGGGAGGAAGGAAAGTGGGAGTGGTGTTGGGGAGATCCCAAGGCTGCAGGGGAAAGAACGGTGGCCAAGCTCCTGACAGTGTTTCCGGGCTGAGGCATAGCAGGGTTTTCACTCTACCAGGAGCTGAAGATTAAGCATGGGGAGAAGCAGGAAACCCATGGGACAGGGGGAGAGGCTTACTTGAGGAGCAGTCATCTTGTGCATGGCATGAGGCAGTGGATGGATCCCACTGTGTTCTCTCTTTTGCAGAAAGACCCTGGCTTTGACAGAGGACAGTTTCACAAGCAGATTGCTGTCATGAGAGGCCAGGTAAGCTGTGTGTAGGGAAGGCAGAGGTGGAGTCTCGTCCTGCCTGTATGGCAGGAAGGGTGCTGGAGTGGATGCTCTCTGTTGCTCCTGCAGGGCAGCTCAGGCTTTGCTCTGTTGTGCCATACAGATCCTGAACCTGACGCAGGCGCTGAAAGACGGGAAGAGCCCGCTGCACCTGGTTCAGATGCCGCCTGTGATTGTGGAAACAGCGCGTTCCCACCAGCGCTCTGCCAGTGAGTCCTACACGCAGAGCTTCCAGAGCCGGAAGCCTTTCTTCTCATGGTGGTAGCTGCGGGAGCCACAGACAGGGCTTGGCCATCTCGGACTAGCACTGCAAGAGGAGCTGGGCCATTGCTGGCTTCTGTGGCTGGGACTTGACCTTCAGGGTAGAGCGAGCAGGTGCAGCTGGAGGAACCTGCAGCTGAACTGGAGGAGCCAGGCAGGTTGGGCATGGTCCCTCCCCAGCTCCATTGGAGCTCGGTGCCCTGTCTGGGGCAGAGGCCAGGGGAGGTGTGGGAATCCGCTGGGAACTGTGGCGTGGCTGGGACCCTGCCCCTGCCTCCCTTCCTTGGCCTGCATGCGGTTCTGAGCACCTCTGCATGGGGCTGGGATGAACAGGCTTGCCCAGGCCAGGATCCGTCCAGCCCTTTTCACCAGCCACTGGCCCTTTTTTTTTTCCCACCGTGCCAGCTGCTGGGCTGGGAAGGCCTGTAGAAGGTGATACCCCCTCCCTTTCCCTAAGGGTGTGGTGTACTCCTCCACTGTCCCTCCTCTGCCCCAACCCTGTGCACACTGCTTTCCTCAGGGGGAGTTCCTGCTGCCCACGGGTGCAGCGGGGACCACAATGAATGGCTGTTCTCTGGCTGGGGGCTCGAGGAGGGGACATAAGAGGGACAACACATGGGACTGGCTTGGGTGCAGTTAGACACTAAGGGGAAAGAGGTGCTGGATTATCCTTGTGAAGAGCAGGTGGCTCCCCCTCTGCTTCCCCAGTCCATTTCTCCTGGCAGGTTTCCACAGCTGCTCTCGCTTGGCTTTTTCCCCTGCTCCCAGCAAGCTGCCTGGCTGCTGTGCAGCCAGCATGGTGCCAGCCTTGTCTGTGCCTAGGGACCCCCTTGAGGGGCAGGGGTCTGCCAGGGAAGGGCTGGAGGGGCTCTTCTGCCACATGGGTGGGCGCATTAGGGGACCAGCATGGACTCCTGGCTGCCTTGGAGCTGACAATCTCGCAGGCTCGCTGTGGGTGGGGGAGGCAGGGAGCCCCCCTCTCCCCAGCAGCTGCTGAGCTTGTGTTGTATGGAACAGTATCAGGGCTGCTGCCTGCACTTGCTTGCCTTGAGCTGTGGCTTCTCCTGCTGCTGGGGGAAATTGGTTTTGGGTCTTGTCCTGTTAGCCCATCCTCGGGGAGTGAGGGGGATGATGGCAGGTTGGGGCTCTGCTGTGTGGGCCTGGGAGGGGAGAGCAGCTCCCCTGTCTCCTGCAATGGGTAGGGTGCTCAGCACTGGCTGTGCAAGCACAGGGGGGGCAGCAGTGGAGACCCCAGCTCCCCGGCCAGGCCCAGCTGCATCTGACTGACCCAAAATGTATTGTTCTAATGCACTGTAGAAATGTATGTAATGTATTTAAACCATGCAACTGTCTGAATAACAGCTGCCGTTCAGCCGGCCACATCTGTGTCTCTGCTGCACCCTAGAGCAGGTTGGGGCTCCTCGGACAAGGTGGCCTGGCTGGTATCCATGGATACCTGCTCAGGGATGCATTGGTCTCCCACAACTGCAGAGTTGCTGCTGGGAAGACCCTTTCCCACAGGGTCTGCTCATGCTGGGTGTTGAGGGGGGCCAGCTGCCTAGCTTGCCCCTCCACACCCTGTGCCTGCAGGTCCTGCACCAGCCTCTCCCAGGCCCAGTGGCTCTTGGAGAGGGAGCTTGGCCAGCTGGTCCTCCAGCAGAGAAATCTTTCCTTGGAGAATCTCTGTTTCTCTTCCGAGCAGTTCTTGTCCTGCAGGGCAGCATGCAGCTTGTTCTCCAGCTGTCCCTGCAACTATGCCAGGGCAGTCACTGTGAGTGACAGTGCACTGGAGCACACTGCCCCTAGAGGCTGTGGAAAATCCCCCACTGGAGATATTCAAGAACTGTCTGGATGAAATCCTGTGCACTGTACTGTAGGATGACCCTACTTCAGCAGGGAGGTTGGACCAGATGATCACTGTGGTCCCTTCCAACCTGACCTGTTCTGTGAGGCTGTTCCCATTGCACTGGGTGCAGTACAGTGGCCTGGACCCCGGTCCTGCCACCCTGAGGGAAGGCCAGGATGGGCAGGACACAGCCAGAGCCTCACAGCCACCCCTGTCCACCCTTTATTAACCATTCATTGCATCCTGCCCAATACACTTAGTGTCCTCGGAGAGCCCGGCACTGCTGACACCCGCTCTCCAGCAGCCGCCCTCCACGGCCCCGGCCGCTCAGCGCTGCTACACGGACCCCGCGTCTGTCTGGGCCCTGCAGTCGCTCTCCAGCTCCTTCTCCGCGATCCTACAGGGAAGAAACCTGTGTTAGGGGCGTGGTCCGGCCGGGCTTCCCCTGGTTTCCCCGCTGCCCCGGCCCACACCTACCGCAGGTGGCCGAAGCGCCGCAGCGCCGCCATCCCGCCGCCGGGCCGGGCCGTTCGCCGCCGCCGGAGCCGCCGCAGGGCCCGCGCCATGCGCCGCTGGCCCGCATACCGCCAGACGAGGCGGGCACGCTCCTCAGGCCGCTCGGCCCCGCCGCTCTGGAACAGGCTCCGCAGCTCCAGCAGTCCCACGCCCTGGAAGATGTTGGCCGAGGCCCGCTTACGGCCGCGGGCTGCTGGCGCCGCCCGCCCCGGAGGGTCGCTCGCCACAGAGGCCGGCGTGCCCATGGCCCCGGCCGCTGCAGGCACCAAAGAGACGGTGTCAGGCTTCGCTCTCGCCGCTCGGCCCGGCTCGCCTCCCCGGGGATCCTGCGCGGATGCCCGGTGAGGAAGGGCGGGCGGTGGGGAAGGGCGCTGGGCAGGAGTCCAGCCGCGCGGGCGGGGCCGCCCAGGAACGCGGGAGGCGCCCCGGCTTGAGCTGGCGCACGCAAGTCCGGTCCCGCCCTGCCCTAGGGCGCTGGGCCCCGCCGTGACCCACTTTCGCTCCGCCGCCGCCCCGCGCCCGACGGCCCCTCGCACAGACCTGGCGGTGGCGGGTCCGCTCAGCACTCGCTGCGCTCCCGGACTCGCTTCGCGCCACCGCGCCGGGGTCCCGCCACTGCCCCGCGCGCCGCTCATTCACGCCCGCGCCCGCCCCGCGCCCGCCCCGCGGCCAATCCCCGCCCGCCCCCCAGCTGCCAGGGCCAATCGGCGCCGAGGGGCGGGGCCGCACCGCCTGTCGGAGGGGGCCACGTGGCGCAGGTGACGTCACGGGCAGCGGGCGAGCCCTCGCCTCTGGGCGGAGCCACGGCGCGCGTCACTCCAAGGGGAATCCCGAGTGACGTAGGGGGGGAACCCCTGAGCGCGCCCCCCGCCGGCCGCCGCGCAGCGCCCCGGTGCGTTGTCCCCGGGACTCGCCACCGACACTGGCCGCCGCCTCCCGCCGCCGCCTCTCGCGCCCCGCGGAGGGGCTCCCTCGGCGGCGGCGGGACGGAAGGGGCACGGCCGTTCGTGCCTGACGGCGGCATCCGCGGCGGCCCTCGGGTGTCCGGTGGGCCGGCGGGAGGCGGAGGCGGGGCGGGGAGGAGAGGAGAGAGGCCCCGCGCGGGGAGGACCGTAAAAGTGCCAGATGTTTGGCAGCGGCCGGGGAAGGAAGTCGCTGCCGGGGCCCTGAGTCCCGCCCGAGCCGCGCCGGAGCAGTCAGGGCCGCGCCATGGCTCGTACGGCTCCCCCGTCAGTGCCGCCGCCCCCGGGGCCGCCGGCCCGCGGCTCGCTCAGCCTCCACCGCGCCTACCTGAGGAGCCCGCTGGGCTTGCTGCGCCTGGGGCAACTGGCGCTGGGCGCTGCCTTCTGGGTGACGGTGGCGGCTAACAAGTACGAGGGGGCGGCCCACTTCGCCCTCTTCGCCGCCGTCCTGGTCTGGCTCCTCACCCTGGCCCTTTTCGGGCTGAGCCTGCTGGGGCGCTGGGAGCTGGTGCCCTGGCTGGGCTCCCGCTGGCTCCTCACCAACCTGGTGCACGACCTGGCGCTGGGTGTGGGGCTTTATGCAGCCGCCACTGGCATCATGGGCCACAAGGCCGGTCAGAGAAGCTATTGCAACCTGCCAGGCTACAGCCAGCACTGCCTCTACGGTGCCTACCTGAGTGCCTCTGTCTGCGGGGGCATCACTGCCTGCCTGTACCTCTTCTCCGGGCTCTACTGCCTGTCACGGCGTTGCCGGGACCAGCGTGACATCATCTGAGACCTTGAGCCACTTGGCTCCCCTTCTTCTCGCTCACGGACAGAGCACAGCCCCTCTCTGGGACAAAGTGACCCTGCTGCCCCATCCCCTCCTGGCTGACTGCACTGCAACTCCTCCAGAGACCCCTGCACAGATGGATGGACAGACAGAGGCCTTCCCCAAGCACACCTTTCCCTGCAACGCACCGAGACATCATGGACACCCAGCCACTGTACAGGCCCTTCTCCCACCTCTGAACCCAAGGAAGGACCCAAGTGGAGAGCCCCTAAGAGGGATATCAATTTTTGGAAGCCCCTCCAGGACCTCTGCCAAACTCCCCTGCTCCTGACCTTGCAGACGCTGCATGCTCAGGTGGGTGCTGACCTCTCCCCAGGGTGGAGGGGAACTGGCCTGGGAGAGCTGAGAAGGGGGCAGTGGTGCCTAGTGGGGTTGGGTGGGCATAAAAACCACCCCAACCCACTGGCAGCCCCTTCTCGCCATTCCAGCTGCGTGGCGCCTCCGCAATTCCCTAACAGAGGCTCTGAACTCGGCTTCCCCAGCCCGGGCCCCTCCTTCTGTCTGGCCTGAAAACATCCTTCATCTTATCGGATCCCCGTGGGGCTCAGCCCCTCCCTGCCCTGCACTCTGGGGGTGTGGAGACACCCGGGTACCACACAACCAGACCCAGCGTCACCCCAGGCCTCTGGACACAACCCAGGTCCAGTCTGGGGTCTGAGCAGGGCAGCAAGGCCTCCATCACTGCAGGACAAGGGGAAGGACAAGTGGGGTCTTACCCTGGGCGGGGGTAAATTCCTCCAACCTTGGAGTTTGTACAGCCCCAGGATGGGGCCAGGTGCCCCTGGGGGTTGAAGGGGCCAGTCTTGGGGTCATTCTCCTGCTGTTCTGCAGAGAGGTTTGTGGCTCTGAGCCACCCAGAGCCACTGAAGCAGACTGCGGCCAGGCTGCTCCAAAAGGGACAGGCACAGCCTCGCTGATGTTTCTGGAGGCTGGCCTGCAGCCCTGCCTGGCTCTGCTGCACTTGGTTTATCATCCCAGAAGATTCTGATCTCTGGACTCTCCGACTTCATCTTGGGACCAGGCAGCTCCTGGAGACTGTGGCAAGGTGGAAGGGTGAGCATGGCAGCATGGCAGTGCTGGGCTGCTGCTGGCACTCTGGCCATGGGGGAACTGGGACCGGGCATTGTGGGGGGACAGCCTGTCTTGGAGAACAGGAGAAGAGGACACTGCCACTGGAGCCAGCCCAGCCTTGGATCAGCCTCCACAATCCACCAAGGGCCAAGTCCTGAGGAGGCCATGTAGGGCCAACTGGAGAAACAGGCAGCCAGAGACAGAATTTTTGGAGGAGCACCACACCAGGGCTGCCCTGCCACAAGCCCTCCTTGCCCTGCCTGGAGGCAGATCCTCTCCTTTGGTCTTGGTGCGAGGGAGGGTCTGCCCCAGTCTCTGTATGGGCTCAGATCAGTGGGGTGGGTGTCCCCAGCAGCTGGCCACAGGGTCTGGCTGTTGCCTGGGGTTCCCTGGTGCCTTTTTTTGGGGTGGAGAGCAGCAGCTGTGATCCTCCTGGGGCTTGAAGGGGCTTGGGGTTGGTACTGGGTCCCCGCTTCCATCATGAGGTGCTGTCCCAGCAGATATCCGTTGTGCTCAGGGGCCCTGCCAACCCCTGGGCCATGTGTCTCTTCCCTGGGTGGGATGTGCCATCCCTGCCCTGTCAGGGCTGGTCCCTGACATCACCTGCCTCCGCCTGTTCTGGTGTAGTCCCTGGCCCAGGCTGCCCAAAATGCCCTCTGTGCTTCTGCCAGCACAAGTGCCTTTCTCTGGCTTTCTGCAGCCCTGTCTGTCATGCTGGCTCTGTCCCCCTACAGCCTCCTCTCTGGTGCCCGTGGATTCACATTCCAAATAAAGCAATGTTGGCGCTCACTGGGTGTCTGGGGCTTTGTGCTGGGGCTGGAACCTGCTGAGTATGAGGTCTGAGCTGGGATCACCCCCAGCTCTGTAGTCTTGTAGCCCTTTGTCCTGGGGCCTCCCTGCTTGGAGCCTCTGGCCGTGGTCACAATGTCCTGGGGTGCTCTGGGGTCACAGGCAGGCTCCACTGGCACCTCTCAGTGCCTGGCAGAGCAGAGGGAAACTGAGTCCCCAGGGCTATGTGGTTGCAGGGGTGCACTGAGGACAGGATGGAGCTGCATTCCTATGGGCTTTGTCACTCAGGGCTGAAAGAGCCCTCTGTCCTTGGGCCAGGACACTGCTAGGCAGTCATGCCCACGCTGTTGGGCCCCCGGAGGGTCGACCGGAGGGTCAGGGACCGCCTAGGGGCAGCTGGCATCTCCCAGGACTGGCTCCAGCCCTGTGATGCACTCTTGGGATGGGGTTGAGCCTCCCCTGTTCAGCAGAGGCTGTGGACAGCCGACAGCATTGTTGAGCCCTCATTGCCCAGGAGTCAGCACAGGGGTAAAATGAGGTTGCATGGAGTATTATGAGATCCCTGCCTTTTGGCATCGGAGGAAGCCCAGGATCCCCAGAGCATCCCTGGGAGCCAGCAGCCCTGCTCTGCTGCAAGCACCTGTCAGGACAGCTCATGGTGCCCAGGGAGATGGGGAGCTGCTGTGCAGGGCAGTGCCTGTGCACCCAGGGCTGGGCTGCTGCGGAGGCACGAAGGGGCAGCAGGTGAGCTGCCAGCCACGGTTACGGGCCTGGAGGGAACCTGTCGCTCCCTCGCGGGGCCCACGCGTGTGGGGCTGCACCCTGGTCTCTCCCCGGGGAGAGGTGCCACAGCAATGGGCTCACGGGGACAAACCCACTGTGCCCGACACGGCTAGGTGCAGGCCATGACAAGACCCAGTCTGGGACTGAGACTTGGACCAGGACTGAAACGGATCGTCCTCAGCCCCGGACTGGGACGGGATCCAGGCTGTGACTGAGCGCTACACCAGAGCAGAGGCGAGCCGAGACAGGGCTAGGACGCTGATTAACCGCGGGTCTGGGCCGAGCCTCGTGTCTAGACCAGACCCATCCACACGCAGGACCCACACGCAGCGCCACGGGCAGGGCCGGGCGGCACCGGGCACCAGAGGAGACGCCGCCGCTTCCGGCGCCGCCCGCTCCGCCCCGCGGGGGCGGGGCCCGTACGCCGCGCCCCGGTCCGGCCCTCTGATTGGCTGCGCGCGGCGCCGCGCCCTGGTCCGGCTCCCCGATTGGCTGCGCTCGCGGCGCGCCCGCCGCGTCACGGCAGCGGCCGAGGGCCGAGGGCGGCGGTGCCGGTGCGGCCCCGTCCCGGTGCGGCCCCGCTGCCGTCATGCAGGCGGTGGAGCGGGACGGGGCGGCGGGCGGCTCCGAAGGGGTGGCGGGCGGCGGTGAGGCCCCACCAGAGCCGTCGCCGCCCAAGGCTGCCGCCGCTTTCGACCTGCTGGAGCTGGTGCGGAGCTACCGGCGACTGGAGCTGTACCTGGAGCCGGTGCGGGACGCGGCCGAGGGCATCCGCTCCCTCCTGAGGTAGGTATGGGATGGGCTGGGACCCGTACCGAGATCGTCCCCGGGGCCTCACGTCCCTCGCTTCCCCCTGTCTCGGCAGGTGGCAGCGGCCCGTGTGCTCCCTCCTGGTCTGCCTCGGCCTCAACTTCCTCCTGCTCACCCTCGGACAAGGTGCGTGTCGGGGGTCGAGGCCGGTCCCCTCCCCAGACCCCCGGGCTGACGCTGTCCCACCTCTTCCAGCCGCCTGGTACTCGATGCTCGCCCTGCTGGTCGCGGTGCCGGCCCTGCTGGGCTACCTGCAGGAGTCGTGCCGGGCCCGGCCCTCGGAGCCGGAGCTGGTGCGCAGGAGGTACCACAGCATCCGCAGGGAGGACCTGCGCAAGGTGCAGCTCTCCCGGCAGGAGGCCATCGCCCAGGTCAAGAGCTTGTGAGTCCCTGGGGCCGCCCCAGCTCTGGGGCTGTGGGGACCTCTGCAGCCGAGAAAGCTTCTCTGGGGTTCTGCAGAGAGTCTGGGTTTGTGCCAGGCTGGCCACTGTAACCCGTGTGGGGGAGTCAGAGTGTGTGTTTGTGAGGCTTTTTTGTGACTCTGAGGTCTTATTCACAGCCTGATCCAGCTGGAGGGGTTTCTGAGCGGGATGTGTTGCAACTGTGAGGCCGTGTACCGTGTGCTGTACTGGGAGAATCCCACTGTCTCTTCCCAGTGAGTAGTACTAGGTCAGACACCCTGTGGTGGGCTTGATGGGGAGAGGGGGCCTCCGGAGCTGTATTTGATGTGTTTGGTACTTGGAGAGAGCAAGTGGAACACCAGATGAACGAAGGGGTTTTATGCTGTGGTGTGAGTTGCTCCAACTTGACCGCAGCATCCTGCTGGTTTTTGTAGGTTTTATGGGGCACTGCTGGGCACTGTTTGTGTCCTTTACCTACTGCCCCTCTGCTGGGTCCTGGCCATCATCAACAGCACCCTGTTCCTGGGCAACACCCAGTTCTACCAAGGTATGAGAACTCTCTGGAAGTGTCCTGTGTGGGATGGGTTGGGGAAAGGCCCTCTGAGGCCAGGGATCCTGCCCTGGGCCTCTCCCAGCACCCTCCCATGCGTACAGTGTCAGGCTCTGCTTGAACACCCCTCCCAAGGGCAACAGTGCCCTGTGATGGTGCTCAACAGCCCAGGGTGGGTGGTGTGGTCCCAGGGCTTAGCTGTTGGAGGTGAGATTCTCTCCTGATTTGTGTCCCAGCCTGAGTGCTGTTCTCTTCTCTGCACTGTGGCAAACCATGGCCTGCTAATGCAGCCTGTGCATGAGCATCACCACCCCTCTCAGTTCCTGACCCTGCTCTTCAGGACTTGAAACGTGTTCAGTGCCTGTGGCAATGTATGACACAGGTCTGAAAACATGCCATTGGAAGAGAGAGGAGCTGGAGGCACTCCCTGTTCTGTGGCACAGGGAGTGCTGGAGGAGCATTGGATATGTCTGAGCTGTAACTAAGGCCCCTCCTGTTCCCTATCCTGAGCTGGGGCAGGTGTTGGAGGGGTTCCTTACTGCCCTAACTTTGATGTGTGAGCAAAGAGGGGCTCAGAGTACCTGAGGGGTCAAGGTTGTATGTGCCAATGTCCCAGCTTGGGCCCTGGAGATCTACTCTTGGAGATGGCTTTTGTGTGGTGGGGCTGGGAGAAGGGAAGTGCCACCCTACTCCAGCTGCTTTCTCCCTTTACCAGTGATAATGGAGCTCAAGGCCTCGATTGAGCAGTGCGTGGGCACCAAGCCCCTCGAGAGCACTCCAGAGCCTGCTGAACCCCTGCCAGCAGCTGCTGCCCCAGATCGGACCCCCACACCCACCAGCGCAGAGGTGAGATAGGGACAGGGCTGGCAGCTGGGCCGTGGGAGTTGCAGAGTCAGCCCCTTGGGTCTGACCGTGCCTGTGTCCCTCTACCCACAAACTTGTTCGAGCTGCCAGCTTTGCTGGAAGCCTGCGAACTACTCTTGAGTTATTGGGAGGCTGTTCTGCTGCCTTGGGGGCTTGGCTCAAGTCCTTTTGCCACACGTTAGGATGTAGTCTGGGGAGACAGGGCCTCATCTCACCTTCAGGGACTCGTGTCTTCTCATAGGGCTGCCCAAGGCCTGGTCCATTGTCCTAGAACCTCCTGCAGGAATGTGGGTCCACCTTTGAACAGAGGCAGGAGAACAGCTGGACTAGCTATGTGAATCTCTTGCAGGACCTTACCCCTGGAAGCGTGGAGGAGGCAGAGGAGGCAGAGCCTGATGAAGAGTTCAAAGATGCTATTGAGGTTTGAGCCTGGTGGGAGGTGGGCTGTGCCTGAAGGGCAGCTGAGGTGGGAAAGGGCCTTGATGGGCAAGCTGGGTGCTCAGAGAGGGTGGCTGTGGGGCTGGGTGCCTCTGACTCCATCTATGCTCACCCTCATCTCTTCCCATGCTGCGGGAGAAGGAGAACCAGCTGCTGGTCATGGTGAGTACTGCCATGCCAAGGCGTGCAAGAGGAACATCTCCTCCCACTGGGGCTGGCAACCTTTTCTTGGTTTGCCAGTGGCTTGTGGTGATGCCAGGTGGAGCATCCTGCTTGTTGGGTACCCGTCTCTGGAGTGGGCTGCCCTGCAGCCCTCGGCATGGCCCCAGCCACTGCTCTGCTCTCTGCAGGAGGATGACGAGAGCTCTCAGTGCTCAACCGATTTTGACCTCAGCCTCCCGGACAATGGTTTTATGAGCAAAAACGAAGTGATCCGCAGCAAGGTGTCACGTCTGACCGAGCGCCTGCGAAAGCGTTACCCCAGCAACAACTTCGGTAAGTTTAGGAGCAGGTGCTGCTTGGGGGAGCTCAGCAGAGGGATCTGTGCTGCTTGCAGTGGTGATCATGAGACTTGAAGTGGGCAGAGTGGTGCAGTACCTGCCAGGGCTGTGCTGACACCTCCAGTGACCTTCCCCTCTCCTTGGGGAGTATGTTCCTAGCCTTACCTAGGAAAGGCAAGGATGGGAAGGTGCAGGAACGTCATCTCCAAGCGGAACCTTTACAACAGCTGTGGGTGTTCCTCTGCTGCTCACAGCTCCAGGCATCAGAGCCCTGTCTGACCTCTGCTCTCTTTCTTTCAGGGAGCTGCACGGGCTGTGCAGCCACCTTCTCTGTGCTCAAGAAGAGGGTGAGTCTTTGGCTTCTACCCCAGCTTGCTGGGTGCACCTGGGGCAGAGGTGTTGCCCATGTCTGGCTTGCCCTGGCTTTCTCCAGCAGCTCAGGTGTCTGGCCTTGGTCTCAGCCCAGATGACCTCAGCTAAGTGCTGCGTGTTGCCATGTGCTTAATGGTGCCAGGAATCCCTTGCACTGTGGAGCATTTGTCCCTTTACTCCTTTGGAAGCTGACTCAGACCAAACCCACATGTGCTGTTGTAGCTCTGTGTCCTGGTTTAGTCCATGACTTGTGGCCTGAGAGATTTCTGGTGAAGCAGAGCATGGGTCTGCCTGGGGGAATGACAGAAACAAATGCCACCCTGTTGCCTTATCTGAGCCCCTACGTGTGACACTTGGCACACAGTCCCTGGGCAGTTCTGGGAAGGATATATCTCCTGTCCCCTCCAGGCTCACATTGCTGTCTTCCTGCTGCCTCCCCTTCTGCAGACTTGTGGCGCCCTTCCCTTATTCCTGGGTTAGTCCGATATACACCTGGGACTCACCTCCATCTCTCTCCACAGAGGAGCTGCAGTAACTGTGGGAACAGCTTCTGCTCCAGGTGTTGTTCCTTCAAAGTCCCTAAGGCTGTGATGGGAGCCACGGGTGAGTGGAAAGGTGGAGGAGGGCAGAGCTCCTGCTTCCACCTGTGCTGTCTGCCCCAGGATTTGCCCCAGCCCTGGTGGGGAGGGTAGACAGGACCTGCCCAGTGCAGCCTGGCTCAGGACAGAGCAGCAATGGGTTTGCAGCTCTCCGAGCAGCTCTGTGGTTGGGGTCCCTAGCCTGTGGTGGGAAAGGGGGAGCATCTCTGACGCCTGCTTTCCTTTCCAGCCCCAGAGGCTCAGAGGGAGACGGTGTTTGTGTGTGCTCTGTGCAACCAGGTGCTCATCAAGTGATGAAACAGACCCAGCTCTTGTGGCCTGCACTGCCTGACACCTGGGACAGCGGGCAGGCACCCTTGCCACCAGGAACCTGGACTGTTTGGATCCCAGCGTGGCATTCCCCAGACAGAGGATGCTTGCACTCTCTGCTCCTCCTGCTAGTGCCAGGCTAGGGCCTGACCAGCTCTCCTTGCCACGCAAAGGCTGAGTCCCTGTGGTGGAATATTGTCCGTGGCTGTGTCCCATCCCTGCAGCTGCTCCAAGCCCTGGGTGCTCTCCGGCACTTGCTGCACCCTGCCATGTGCTTGCCCAGGCCCTGTGGCCTGGCTCAGTGATGGAGGAGCCATCTTTCCCTTCACCTCCTGGTTGGGGTGGAACAACCTCAGGGCTCCGTCCCTACCTTTCCCAGCACTGTGCTATAAATGACTGTATTTTTGGGATCAAGTCAGAACTCTACCTGCACCTCCAGGAGATGTGGTCCTTGGTCCTGGTCAGCTGACACCCTGCTGGTCACTCCTGTGCTCCTTGACGTCATCACCTGCAGGTTTAGTCTTTTACCCCTGGATTTGGCTGTAGTGCAGAGGAGGGTGAGTTTGGGCTGGGCTGTGTGGCCGTGTCTCCAGTGTGAGAAGAGGCAGGAGTTGGTGCTGCTCTGTGCACTTAGTGACTGCTGCTTTCTAATACAGATTAATATATAATTGCATATAGAGAATGACCAATAAATTTCTTGTCCTTAGCTGGCTCTTGTCTTGTCCTAGTGAAAGCTGTCCCAGTCCCAGGTGACTCTGATGCCTCTATGGCCTTGGCCCTGCAGGTGCTCATGGAGAAATGGTGTGTCTCTGCCACCAGCTCTCCGCGCTTTACTGGAGTTTCCATCTTCTGTCCTGCTGTAGCCTTATTTACTCCCTGCTCAGAGCTGTGTTGCAGCCACCCTTTGGCTGTGCCAGGGCTGGATCCTGCTGGGCTGGAGCCAGGGAACACCTCAGCTTTGACAGGAGCTGCTGGGCTTCCTCTGCCTTCCGTGGCTGCTCCTTCCCCTGCCCTACCCATGCAGTGGTCCCACCAGCTGCCTGTGTGCACAAGGATGACCTTTTCCTGTGTGAACAGCAAAGCTCCCAGCTATTCCAGGAATGTGACTCTGGCTGCTGTGCAGCTGGGAACCGCCACGACCTGGGTCCCTGCCAGCCAGCTGCAGCTTCCCCCCAGCCAGGGAATCTGGGGGGGCCAGTGCTCTTGGGCTGGCAGTGCCCACCAAGCTGTGACACCCACCAGTCTGAGAAGTCACTGGACCCCAGACCTCGCTGCAGGTTGTACATCCCACCAGTGTGGGAGTTGTATGGGGCAGTTCCTCTTGGCTGTGGATCATAAACCCCTTCCCATGGAAATCTGGGGGAAAGCTGGATTTGGCATTGATGATGAGGGTGTCTGGGTTATGCTGTGTGCGCGGGGGGGACTGGCTCAGCAGTTACTGGGGGCAGTGGAGCAGCTGTAGCAGTGAGGAGGGCTGTGTAGCACCCCAAGAGCTGTGGGGTTATGTTTGTGTATGTGTCTGCAGTGGGTTAAGTACTGGGCTGGGGAGGATGAGCTGTAGAGCTCAGACAGCCAACCGTGGGAGGCAGAGGAGTTACTTGTCTTTCTAGAGAAAACACTTGGAGCAATGAGCATGATGGCCATGTATGTCTGAACACTCCCTGGAAAGATGCTAATGACACAGAATACAGAGGACTGCAGATAAACTTGCACTGTGGGAGATGGGGTTTTATTTATGCATTTTAAGTTTCGCAGTTAAATGTCATAATTGACAATGTTTATTCCTGTGGTGGTGTGCTCAGCACTCACTCTCTGAACATACCTTCTAATGATATTTGAATTTTTTCCTCATTTTTTTCCCCAGTGACTGGGGAGAGGCGGGGGGGCAGTAACTCCCTGCCCCCGGTGTGAGGCTGGGGCAGGGGCTGGCTGCCATGTGTCCCTGTCTGGCTGCAGGGCAGGGGCACTGGCACATTCCCTGGCAGGAGCAGGATGTCAGTGCCATTTGGGGTTCTGGAGGCTCACTGGTGGGGCTGAGGCCATGCCAAGGAGGGCAGAGGGAGAAGGGGTCACCTCAGTGCAGTGCAGGGCAGGTGCCCAGTGGTCCTGCCAGCCTGGAGGAGGGTGAGTGCAGACATCCCACAGCCTCAATTTCCCTCTTGTCCCGAGAGGCTCCCTTGTGGCCAGGCCAGCTCCGATGAGATGATGCAATGCCAGGCAGCCAGGCACTGGGTAAATATCCAGGTGTCCACTCTCAGGCCTCCCTCACCCATTGGGATGGGTGGATACATGTGTGCATTGGATAAACAGGTCTGGGGTGGGCAGGACGCCCCCTTGCTAACTGAGACAGGGAGGCAGCCAGGGGAGTCGAGCCAAGCTAAGGAACAGCACCCTCCTGCCATCAGAGGGGCTAGGCTGAGAGCTGCCCTGGTCCTTGTGATCCTGGGAAGGTCCTGCCTGGTGCAAGTGGGTGGCACCAGAAGTCTTTTGGGAAGAGGTGGGAGGTTGTGGCGTGGGAGGTCTGGCGGCCGGGCAGGGCTGGCAGGGAGCTGCAGGCAGGGCTTTCAGGTGATAGGGTGTGGAGTGGCCAAAGTTGGCGGCTGTCTGGTCCAGGATCTTCCCCCTACTGTGCTCAGTGCCAGGCTGCTCACATGTGCTGCCAGGCCCCAGCCTGCGGATTTGTCCCCTGGGATGACAGAGGGAGAAAAACCTCTCTGGCAAACACTGTCAGACTCAGCTGTGGGGCTCCAGCAGCAGTGATGCCTCTGTCCCCTCACCCTGCTCATCATGACACCCTCCCAGGGTCCTTGGAGGGGCAGGGGTGCCTGAGCGTCCAACCATGCCTGTGAGTCCTGGGAATTTCATCCCTTGGCTTGTCTGGACTGCCCAGCCTGAGGCTCTGGGCATGGCAGCTGGAGCGGGGTAGAGCCAGAGCTTGGGGTGACCCTGCTCCCTTGGGCTGCCCCATTCAGTTGGCAGGACTGGGACCCCTCTCCCATTCTTCTGGGGTCCCTGAGGGAGCCCCAAGGGGCAGTTGCTCATGAACAACATTGAGCTGGACACAGACTTCTCTGAGGTGGAATAATTTACTGTGGTGTATATGGGCAAGGGGTGCCTGGGCTGGGACATGCCAGGGTTGTGTGTGAGGGATGCAGCAGAGCTGGTCTGGGGGCCTTGGAGGTGCACCCCCCCACACACACTGAGCCATGTGGAATGAGGGGTGAGGAGCCCGGGCAGGGGCTGTGATGTTCTGGTCACTTGGTCTTGAGGGGAACAGTCTGTGGGGACAGTGGGGCAGAAGGGACCTGCCTTGGCTGGGGTGGGTCTGTGCGAAGGTGAGATCCAGGGCTGGGGTGTGAGCTCAAGGTAAGGGCATGGGATGTTTTGGTGGGCTGGAGTAGGGACTGCTTGGGCTGAGGATCTGGGGCAAGTCATGAGGGAGCTGGGCAGGGTACACTGATACAGGGTGGGGGTCCAAGGTACAGCCAAGTGGTCCCAAGAGGGCCAAGCAAGGATCCTAAATGAAAACAAGGGGCTCTAGGCTGCTAGGCAGGGAGCTTGGGAGTAACCAGGGGTCTCTAGTGCAGACTAGGGTTCACAAGCATGCAGAGCAAAGGTCCTGAGTTCAGCCTAAACTCCTGGATGTGGGCAGGGGTCCTGGGAGCAGAACAGGGGTTCCAAGGGTGCAGAAAAAGGCTCTCAGGAGGAGGCAGGGGTCCTGGTTGTGGATCAAGGCTCCTACAAATGCAGCTGGGAATCCTAGGGATGCAGAGCAGGGTTCTGGGGCACAGCCAAGAGGCTGAGGTGAGCAGAGCTGGAATCCTAGGGTGTGGCTAGGGATGCCAGGGATGTGGTTTTGGGCCAGTGCAGGAGTCCTGGGAGAGGGTATGGTGGGTAGAGTGCTAGTGCTGCCCAGCCCCATAGAGCAAGGGGTGGTAGAGGGGGCAAGGATAGGAGAACATGAACTTGACTGCGAACTTCATCTCCTTGTTGTGCTTCTGCCAGGGGTAGATGGCCAGGAGGAGCAGGCGGCCGCCCACCTTGCGGCCCATCACCAGGAAGCTGCCACTGAGGCTGTCCAGCTGGGGGCAGGGGCAGGCGCCTGCGTTCCTCATGTGCAGCACCATCTTCTTGGTGTCCTTGCGTTTGAGCGGGCCCAGCTTCAGCACCTTCTTCTTCTGGGCAGCCACCAGCCGCCGCTCCCCGTTCTCCTCCGTCATCTCCTTGATGCGCATCTTCACCACTGTGTGGGGCAGCCGAAGGGCATGGTTGGGGGAGGGGGGCATTGCTGGGACACCGGGGAGGGGAGGGTCTGGGCCAGGCACCCGTGCAGAACAGGATTCAGCCCATCCCTGGGGTGGGTCTCTGGGGAAGTTACTGTGTGGGAAGGGGAAAGGGGTTATTGAGTGACCCTCCCACATGTCCCTTTCTGTCTATCCCCCCACCAATGTCTCCTCTTGTGGTGCACCCATCCATGCATGGTCTGAAGGGAATGGCCAGGGATCTCCCATGGGGCTGTCCCCATACACCCCCACCCTCTGGTCAACCCCTGCCTGGGCTGTCAGACCTGGAGGAGGCAGACCCCTCTCCAGGGGGGCTGGGAAGCAGACCCCAGCACTCACCAAAGTCACTGGAGCACATCTGCTCCATCATGCCATCCGCCTTGTGCTCCATCTCACACTGGGTGCAGATCTTGGACACTGTGGTGAGAGACTAGTCATTGTCACAGCTTCCTGCTACTGATACTTGTCACCTGGACCAGCTCCTCGGGGACTGCTTGGGAGAGCCTCAGCAGCTTCTCTGCTCCCTAGGCAGCTGTGCTGGGGTAATGGGGGGGCACAGAGCACCTCTCTGGCCAGTGTCCCAGCATCCCCCCCAGCAGAGGGGATATGGGGATGCCCTCCCACCAGATGTTGTTGCTTTGAAGCACAGGAACAGCGAGGGTGGCCCCAGCCTGAAGGGTGTTGTCACAGCCCCGATCCTGACCCTGGGCTGCCTTTGGCTGATGTACCCTCCCCTGTCTGAGGGGACAGCCACCTGCAGCAGCAACGTGGGACTGAGACCCACAGATGCAGTATGCTCTTTGCTGCTAGCATGGGACCCAGAGGAAGGAGAGGGATATAGCACTGTGGTGGATCTGCCAGTGGCTCCCACCTTATCCCATGTTCTCCCCTGTCCTGGGGCAGTTCTGTGCAGGCAGCTGGGTCCCCAGCTCCCTCAAGCAATGAGTGGTGTCCAGACAAAGCAGCTGATGCTGCTGGTACTGCACCCACTCGTGCCCTGCTGCAGACAGAGGGTCCTTGGCCAGTACCAGTGTCCTGAGCTATGCTTCGAGGGGTGAAGGGATGGGGGTGCAGGGGCTCCACATGCATCCCCATCCCATCACAGTACCCTTCCCACTTACCTGGTGGCGGAGTGGCTTTGCTGTTCCCAAACTGGACGGCAATGCAGAGCTCATGGTCAGATGGGAACTTGCCACAGTGCAGCATCTCAGGCCAGGGGAAGCCGTAGGACTCCATGACAGGGGCACAGGAGTCACGTACCACCTCACAGAGGGAGCGGCAGGGGTAGACGGGCCGGTCGAGGCAGACAGGGGCGAAGAGGGAGCAGAGGAAGAGCTGGGTGTCAGTGTGGCACTGCTTGGCGAGCAGGGGCACCCAGCTACCAGCCTGCTGCTTGGCCTCGGCCATGGTCTCGTGCTCCAGC